TAGCATACATCCCGACACAGAGGATCTAGAACAGAATAAACTGGGGTGTCGCGGTCAGTGAACCCCTCATAGCATACACCCCGACACATGGAGGATCTAGAACAGAATAAACTGGGGTGTCGCATTAGTGAACCCCGCATAGCATACACCCCGACACATGGAGGATCTAGAACAGAATAAACTGGGGTGTCGCAGTAGTAAACCCCTCATAGCATACACCCCGACACATGGAGTGTCTAGAACAGAATAAACTGGGGTATCGCGGTCAGTGAACCCCTCATAGCATACACCCCGACACATGGAGGATCTAGAACAGAATAAACTGTTGTGTCGCAGTAGTGAACCCCTCATAGCATACACCCCAACACACAGAGGATCTAGAACAGAATAAACTGGGGTGTCGCAGTAGTAAACCCCTCATAGCATACACCCCGACACATGGAGTATCTAGAACAGAATAAACTGGGGTGTCGCGGCCAGTGAACCCCCCCATAGCATACACCCCCCGACACACAGAGGGTCTAGAAGAGAATAAACTGGGGTGTCGCGGCCAGTGAACCCCTCATAGCATACTCCCCGACACACAGAGGGTCTAGAACAGAATAAACTGGGGTATCTCAGTCAGTGAACCTCTCATCGCATACACCCCGACACATGGAGGATCTAGAACAGAATAAACTGGGGTGTTGAAGTCAGTGAACCCCTCATAGCATACACCCCGACACATGGAGAATCTATAATAGAATAAACTGGGGTGTCGCAGTAGTGAACCCCTCATAGCATACACCCCGACAAACAGAGGATCTAGAACAGAATAAACTGGGGTACTGCAGTCAGTGAACCCCTCATAGCATACAGCGCGACACATGGAGGATCTAGAACAGAATAAACTGGGGTGTCGCAGTAGTAAACCTCTCATAGCATACACCCCAACACACAGAGGATCTAGAACAGAATAAACTGGGGTGTTGCAGCCAGTGAACCCCTCATAGCATACACCCCGACACACAGAGGGTCTAGAACAGAATAAACTGTGGTATCGCGGTCAGTGAACCCCACATAGCATACACCCTGACACACAGAGGATCTAGAACAGAATAAACTGGGGTATCGCGGTCAGTGAACCCCTCATAGCATACACCCCGACACATGGAGGATCTAGAACAGAATAAACTGGGGTGTCGCAGTAGTGAACCCCTCATAGCATACACCCCCCGACACACAGAGGATCTAGCACAGAATAAACTGGGGTATCGCGGTCAGTGAACCCCTCATAGCATACACCCCGACACATGGAGAATCTATAACAGAATAAACTGGGGTGTCGCAGTAGTGAACCCCTCATAGCATACACCCTGACACATGGAGGATCTAGAACAGAATAAACTGGGGTGTCGCAGTAGTGAACCCCTCATAGCATACACCCCGACACATGGATGATCTAGAACAGAATAAACTGGGGTATCGCGATCAGTGAACCCCTCATAGCATACACCCCGACACATGGAGGATCTAGAACAGAATAAACTGGGGTGTTGCAGTCAGTGAACCCCTCATAGCATACACCCCGACACATGGAGGATCTAGAACAGAATAAACTGGGGTGTCGCAGTAGTGAACCCCTCATAGCATACACCCCGACACATGGAGGATCTAGAACAGAATAAACTGGGGTGTCGCAGTAGTGAACCCCTCATAGCATACACCCCGACACATGGAGGATCTAGAACAGAATAAACTGGGGTGTTGCAGTAGTGAACCCCTCAACGCATACACCCCGACACACAGAGGATCTAGAACAGAATAAACTGGGGTATCGCAGTCAGTGAACCCCTCATAGCATACACCCCGACACATGGAGGATCTAGAACAGAATAATAGAACTCCCCATATTCTTCATAAAGGTCCCCATTGGCTGCCGAGTGATTGCTGCTACTCTGGATACACATGTACCAGCAGGGTGAAAGCAGAACATACACGGCAGCCTGTCCTAGGTTATGGCCGAGAGCCGTTCCACTAGACGTTTTGGTGTAACGCCACAGTCACAGTAGTTATGTCTTTAACTACACAATCCTAGTGCTTTACCTTGGCGTTGGCCGTTCCTTTTTTACAGTGCTCTGACTTTCAGCCATTGGTTTTATTCAGTAAATGCAAGTCGCTATTTT